TAACAAAACCCTAACACTTTGTTCACTTGAATGGATTTGGAGGAGAGTGATTGAATGGATTTGAGAGGATTTAAAGGTAAACTTTTTGTTGTTTATTTGTGTGAATTTGGAAATAAGAGAGTGGATTTGGAAGTAAAGTTTGTGAAAATTAACATAGGATTTGATTGATGTGACAGATTAAAAAAATTTACTTCCAAATTCACTCTCACTTACCTCCAAATTCACTCTCACTTACCTCCAAATTCACTCTCACTTACCTCCAAATTCACTCTCACTCACCTCCAAATCCACTCAAATAAACAACAAAAAATTTACCTTCGTATCCTCTCAAATTCATTCAATCACTCTCCCCCAAATCCATTCAAGTGAATAAAGTGTAAAAGAAAAATCCCTTACATAAATATTAATAATAATAAAGACATTAGAGGGCACCTAGTTATTTTCACTCTATCTCCAGCCTATTTCCCATTAAAATGTTTACCTCTTTTTTCTCTTAAACCAAACACCTATATTTTTCCACTTAATTTCTCATCAATTTCCATTCACCTTCCCCATTTCCATCCACACTATTTGTCAACTATTTCTCTCCTTCCTACCAAATGAACCCTATATAATATCAAATCGTTCCACATGATTTCAATATGAAAAATCAGTTCATACTTTATAGACACGTTTGTTGTATCCAAATAGAAAATTGTGAAGCAAGAAACATATGATACAGAACACAACTAAAACCAACTGTCATTAGTTACCTGGTAAAAACTATATGAATCATTTCCCTTCATTTCTTCAACAACATCATCATCCGCTGGCCTTTGAATACTATTCTTCTCCTCATATGAAGAACATAAATTCATTTGTTGCTCTATTAATTCTTTCTCCACATTCAAAGTTTGGTTAGAACAGGCTCCAGCAGTTGACTTTTCCAGCATTGAAACCTTAATTTGGTCGCTGTAATCAGTAGAGGAAGTTTTTGACCCATTAGAACAGTTTTCATCATCAGTATCCATAGAATTTACGACCATGGATTGTATCTGATGTGCATGATCAATGGGCTTAGAATTTTCACTGTCATGAGACTTTTGCTCATTCCAATGCCACTTCCTCTGTTCCAGTTGCTGCATGGCAGCACAAACATAAGGAAGCTTCTCCAGGTCATCAACAAGACCAGAATCTGCTCTGGCCAGCCAGCCATCTAGATCAGATATTGAATGCCTCACTGAGAGATCTACATCTGATGTAAGAGTAAACTTTGAAAAGGGATCACAGAAGTGTCCATTACCAAATGATATGATATTTGTCTCTTGTTTATTTTTACTTGTCAGAGTAAATGAGTCCTTTTTCCGAGTTAAAAAGGTGAACTCAACATTTTCTCCTACTTGATACTGTTTGACATTTGTGATGTGAACTGTATATAAATCCTTGGCAGATGTCATGACAAAGCACAGAGGACACCTTTTCCAGATATCGCCTTTGTGATCCTCTTCACCCATCATTAAGTACTGTAGAATACATGGGAAACAGAAAATATGTCCACATGAGGTTATCTGCGGACACAGTGGATACTCCAAACAAATTGGACACTGAACTGAGAAGGGGGTCAAATATGTCACACATATAATGTCTTCCCACTGCAACATTTTATCAGGATCCATCGACTCAGGAGAGTAATTTCCCGAATCTAACACCATGAACTTGTAATTTGCCTGCAAAAACAAATCTTTATTGTATGGCTTCCTCTTCCAATGCCTTCTTGCTGCAGGGGAGGGAGGGGGACCCCGGGGTTGAGAACGGGATATTGGGTCATATTGAAAATTCAGCAAGTAATTTCCGTTCACAGTCTGAGCTTTCCTCCCTGCCAAAGGGGTACTTCCATGAGAACCCACGGACCCAGGAGCTTGTTGGTTTCTATGAGAAGAAACCATTCCTGCCCGTCTTCCTCCGTGAATCCTAGAACGTGTTCTAGGGTTTTGCTGAGGTGAAACCGTCACTCCACTTGGAGACCCTAATTCTGTCACCTAAAAGCCACACAAGGGAACAAAATAGTAACCAACAGATACCCAAATATAGCAAAAGAAAAAAAAACACAGTTCTACACTTCTACCAGGCCATAAGCTTCCATAAAGCAATCCTAGATAATCAGAATCACAATACCTTTTCGGAAGATCCACCAGAATCTTCAGTAGCTTGAGTCGAAGAACCTAACAACAACATTGAACAACTTAATCAGTTAAACAAGCAGAGCATCAATCAAACGCAAAAAAAAAAAAACAAAAAATTAACCATACCCTTGACCATTCAATTTCCTAAACAAAATAAAACAAAAAAACACCGCAATTTCACAGAAGAAGTGACCAATCATGATTATTTTCTCGTGTCAACCAAATAGCGTGGAATTTAAAGGGAATGGGAGAGATCGAAGAAGGAACCTGCGATACCGGAGATCTGGAGAGATCCGAGCGCGTGGTGGAGTGGGGGTGAGAGGTAAGGGAAGGGTTGTTGAGGAAGAGGGCTTCCGCTGCCATGTTGGGGAATAGGGTTAGGAGATGGCGCTGACGAAGAAGACGAAGATGACGCTTGGGTTTGTGAGGGCAAGATGGACATGAAAGTTCTGGAAGGAGGGTTTGGGGGTGTTCGTTGGTGGTTCAGCTTCTATTCTACTTTACCAAACTACATTAAATCAAACACACCTTTTATTTCTCATTTGTTGGTCTCCCTGGGCATCACTGCCGCATCTTTGCCGAATATTGGGTTTACGCCACCACAACATTCCAATTCTTTATTTTTGTTCCCTTGTTTTTTTTTCAATATTATCTACAATAATAAGTTTATGGTTGGTTTTGAAAAGAAAAAAAAAATTGAATTTTAAAAAATATAAATTATTAACGGAATATACTTCAGTTATTTTATCAAAATAGTGTCAATGTGGTTTTCTTTTTAATTTTCTTTAAATAAAGTTAAAAAGAAATATGGAGAAATTAAGTTGACTTAATGCAAAAAAATTAGAAGAGGTGTGGAATATGTCATATATTGAAATCCTCCTTTAAGAAAAGAAATTAACATATTAATAGTTAACATTTATGAAGAAAAATAATAATTTTGGAAATCTTCGAAAAATTGTGTGGACAAAAAATTTCATCAATTTTTTTAATTTAATATTTTTAAATGTTAGTTTTAGATTAATTAATATATTTTATCATATAAAATATGTCCCTGTGGTTTTATATTTATGTATTCATCATTGTATATTAATAAAAGTAAAGAAGAATAGACCAAAAAAATCTTATGAAATTGAGCGAAATTGCTTTTTCTTTTTAAATTAAATTTTTTGTATTGAGTTCACGTTTCCTATTTTCAGGAAAAATAAAGAGGATTTAGTAATTAAATTATCTTAACAATTATAGATATCTATATGACCAACTTTATTATTGTACAATTACTGTATATTATTTTCAAATAATATAAATCTCTGTTATCAAAAACTTACATCAGAACACTTCAACCATTTTTTTTGCTAAAACAATTAAAAACTGCCTTAAATATTTTCAAAAGTTTTAAAATAAATTTAATTTATAAAAGATTGTTTATATAAGGGTTTGTAAATGTGCTTTTCTAGTATTATCGGATAACTAGACACAAAACAAGTTTGAGTTTTCATTCTCCACTAGCATTTTTGGATTATGGGATAACAATACTACTATTTAGTTCCAATAGTAATATTGGGAGAGATTTTTACACCGATTATTTTTCATATACATTAAATATGTAAGATTCGGAAAAATAGAAGTCTTAAAAATAAAGTAGTGTTAAGACTTTGGATTTTTGTTTGGAAACTATTGTTTTTAAGTGTATTTTTTTGTTAGAACATAATTGTCATGTTGTTTTTTATTTTTATATTTTTGTCTAGGGATAAAATGGTCTTTTACCTTTATTTAATTGTGTAGACATTAATTAAGGGGGTGTAGAAAGGAAAAGCATGTAAATTAAATAATCTGGATAATTAATAAAATTATATTATGTAAATCTTTTAGAAGATTTAGTTCTTGTTATTTTAAAAACAGTTAAATGAAAATAGGAGATATAATCTTGGTGGGTTTAAAAATTAAAAGAGATATTATTATTATTAGAGAAAATCATTATTAGATATTGTTAGATATTTTAAAAGATTGCGTGAATTTTAAAAAGATTTAAGTGACCTCAGGCCACGTCACACATTCATTAACGTCGTTGATGAAATTGACGGAAAAGATTTATTTGCATCAAATTAACAAAAATAAGGACCCAATTGAAACGCCAAAAAATAAAGGGACCTATTTCAAATTCTGAACAAAAATAGAGACTTATTGAGACAACTTTAGTTGTACTTTTCCTCCATGAATCAATGATTATGAATCAGTCAAAGGGTAAACTTGACCTTTACATTTGATAAATCCGCAACCCCTTTCTGGTATGGTGCTCCTCTGTCGTCTAAAACGGAATAACTGTTGAGGATAGAATTAATATCTAACCAGTTATCTGATTTCAATATTTTCTATAAAAGAAAGTATTCCATCCAAATTCTTAACGTGAATCTTAAGTTGATAGTAAAAAGAAATAGTAAAAATAGTTTATTGAGAGAGAAGTCAAATAAATGACTTATTTCTTATATAATAAATATTTTTTTCTGCTTTTTTACTTTTAGCATTAGTTTAAAGAAACAAAATCGATTTCTAGAAATCTTTGCAAGCTATAATTTCGATCTAGTAATGATTTTTTATTTACTAGAAAAGAGAAATTTATATATTATCTATTAGAAATATAGGTTCTACTTTTGCGACGTTGAAAGAAAAATATACCTTACAGGCTGAGCACTGTATCAAGTCTTCTTGCAAGTCTTCTACCAAGTCAATGTTTGGCCATCAATGAGTAAACATTTTATATCTGTATCTCAAAACTTCACTGAATTGAGACTATAAATACATGACAACACTCTTCGTATCAATGCAAAGGGAAAAGTGATTAAAATATAGTAAGCATTATCAATCTCTTGGCAACCATGAAGGCCATTCTCATTGCTTTTTTACTCTTTGCTTCTCTTTTCTTCTTTCCCACTTCAACTATGGCTCGACAACTCAAGGGTAACAATACATACTACCTTTTCTACGCTTCCTCAATTCTCATATACACCAAAGAAATCAATATCATATTTGAAACTTACGAAATTTGATTCTTATAACTAATTTGGATGAACTTAGTATAAATATAAAAGAGTAATTTATGTTTTTTTCCCTTTTGTTTGATATTTCTACGTGAGAGGTGTCCACTATAGTTAATGTAATGATGTATGTACATTTTTATGCAGAAGGTTCATTTCAGACAGGAGACCCTACTAAGCCTGCTGTTAAGTGTTCTCCCGGTCAGGGTTATAGAAATTGCATTCCATCGAGAGCACCAACGCCACCAACATCTCCAGCACCACCATGCTCACCCTATTCACGTCATTGTTGATCAATATCTAAAAGATGCAATAGCCGAATGAATTAAGTATACTTTTACTTTCTGCTGATGCCATTAGCACTTGCTGTGTTAAACCATGGAGCTACCATCTCTGTCTTTTGCTTTAGAATTTCCAGTGCTTTCACCCAATAATGAGTGTTTTCCGAGTTTGTTGAGAAATAAATGTTTGGCCTCTAGGCCAATCCAATAAATAAGAACTTGACTTCGTATACTTTTCCTTTTTGTTGAGTTTATTGTTACATGTGCCATCTTTTATGAAGGAAGATGCTTTTACATACTTGAAAAGAAAAATATATTAAGGTTCTTGCGTGCGACTATAAAATGAATGCTTAAACATTATGATTGCTTAAGGAGAAAAAATAGAGTCACTTCTTATTCGGGTTATAAACAAAGCAAAGATGTCAGGATGAAAGATAGAAAAAAAAAACTGTCTTCGATATCCCAAATAAAAGAAGAGAACAGAGAATACAGAGATGAGATAGAGTTGAGTTTTCGGTTATTTCAAGACAGGATCAAAAAGACGTGCTTTACAACCCGAAAAAATAGTCCGAAAACCATTGTATTATTTCCGGAAATATGAACTTTATTTATCCTTGAATATTCAAAACATTGACATGCACGGTTTATAAACTTTTTCTCGGTTGAAATGGAAGCATCTAACAATTATCTAATGAAAGTAATTGTTCATTTCAATTTAGAATTGATAAACATTATTAAACGTTTTTTGTTCTAATTAGTACTATTCAAAATATTTGGTTACAGTCCTTCTCTTAAGGGCTTTTTGTATCCCCTTTTTTTTTCCTTCTCCTTTCACTCTTTCTATCTTTTATATTAAACAATATTTATTCTATCTCTAATATGCCTCTTTTTTCATGATATCAGAGTCATAAGTTAGAATGTATCCAAAGAAAATTTAATGTTTGTTAGTTCTATTGTTCCATCTAAAATAAGATCGTAATCAAAGTATTCATTAATGTCTAATTTTACACATGGGATATATATACCTCAATTTGAGAAGTGTACGTTAGAAGTCGCACATCGAATAAAAATAAGACAATTTCATAATATATAAATGGGTGTGCAAACCTCACCTTACAAGTTAGTTTTATAGGATTGAGTTAGGCTTAAAATTCATTTCTTAACATGAAATCAAAGCTTGGTTGCCATGACTTCTGAATACTCTAAACCCCTTCCACCCATCAACATTTTTCCCAACATTCTCCACCCTTGCACCTGATACTTACACCACACAAATCACTTCCATATTAGATGATGAAAATTTTCTCATATGTCATCATAAGTTTCTTGCTACAATTGAGCATCTCAATCTTCTACATTTTCTTGATGACATCAACATTCCACTCTGGCATTACCGACATATATAGACGGTTAGTAACGTCCCAAATTCGTTGGTACTGCATGATTTTCGGTGAATTATCGATGGACTATAATCCGTTGGTAATTTCGTTGTAAGAACCGAGAAAACTTAAGTACATAAAGTATATGTGTGTTTTATTTTAATAAGGCCAACTTATTTTAATAATAAATGTTTCGTAATATGAACAAAAGTTTATATCACGTCTCATTATTTAAAACAAAAAATATCTCTTTAAAAACTCTTCTTTTGTGTTATTTATTTTCTCTCCAAAAGTTCTAACTCCTGAGTAATCTCTTTGACTATCAGGAGTTACCTAAACGACCACAACGAGGTTTATGTTTTTATCCGATCAGTTTCTTGAATAGAATAAGTAAGTTTCTGACTCTTTTTTCTTGTTTGTTCTTAATTGAGATCATGCTTAAAGATCTTTTGTCACCTGTGAGTTATAATGTCGTTTCTTAGTTTCCTGTTGATCCAAGGTCCTAAGGACTCTCTCTGATATCTGTTCAGTGTTTTATAGGCATTTGTAAAGTTTCTTGAACTCTAAGCAAGGGTTCGATGTGTTTATAGAGCTCCATTGTTTTGGTGTAAAGTAAAAGAAACTAGTTTAATTCAAGTTTGATTGGTAAATAGGTTATAATTCATGAGTTGATGATGATGTGCCTGAAATGTACTATTAAATTATACTCCTCCTTTTAATCATACTCCTCCTCTTCCTTCTTTTTCTCACACTACTCCAATTAATTTATAAGCATATTTTGTTAAATTTAACAAAAAATTTAGCATCTTTTTTCAATGAATTTATTGACAAATTTTAGAAATTAAGTTATTGATAAAAGTTTAAAAAAATCAATTATTAATGAATTTATCGTAATATTTTTAAAAAATAATTAATTATCAATTACTTTAAAAGTAAATTATTGATGGATTTTGCACCAAATTGNCATGGAGCTACCATCTCTGTCTTTTGCTTTAGAATTTCCAGTGCTTTCACCCAATAATGAGTGTTTTCCGAGTTTGTTGAGAAATAAATGTTTGGCCTCTAGGCCAATCCAATAAATAAGAACTTGACTTCGTATACTTTTCCTTTTTGTTGAGTTTATTGTTACATGTGCCATCTTTTATGAAGGAAGATGCTTTTACATACTTGAAAAGAAAAATATATTAAGGTTCTTGCGTGCGACTATAAAATGAATGCTTAAACATTATGATTGCTTAAGGAGAAAAAATAGAGTCACTTCTTATTCGGGTTATAAACAAAGCAAAGATGTCAGGATGAAAGATAGAAAAAAAAAACTGTCTTCGATATCCCAAATAAAAGAAGAGAACAGAGAATACAGAGATGAGATAGAGTTGAGTTTTCGGTTATTTCAAGACAGGATCAAAAAGACGTGCTTTACAACCCGAAAAAATAGTCCGAAAACCATTGTATTATTTCCGGAAATATGAACTTTATTTATCCTTGAATATTCAAAACATTGACATGCACGGTTTATAAACTTTTTCTCGGTTGAAATGGAAGCATCTAACAATTATCTAATGAAAGTAATTGTTCATTTCAATTTAGAATTGATAAACATAATTAAACGTTTTTTGTTCTAATTAGTACTATTCAAAATATTTGGTTACAGGCCTTCTCTTAAGGGCTTTTTGTTTCCCCTTTTTTTTTTCCCTCTCCCTTCACTCTTTCTATCTTTTATATTAAACAATATTTATTCTCTCTCTAATATATCTCTTTTTTCATGATATCATAGTTATAAGTTAGAACGTATCCAAAGAAAATTTGATGTTTGTTAGTTCTATTGTTCCATCTAAAATTAGATCGTAATCAAAGTATTCATTAATGTCTAATTTTACACATGAGATATATATACCTCAATTTGAGAAGTGTATGTTGGAAGTCTCACATCGACTAAAAATAAGACAATTTCATAATATATAAATGAGTGTGCGAACCTCACCTTACAATTTAGTTTTATAGAATTAAGTTAGGCTTAAAATTCATCTCTTATCATGGAATCAAAGCTTGGTTGCCATGACTTCTGAATACTCTAAAACCCCTTCCACCCATCAACCTTTTTCCCAACATTCTCCACCCTTGCACCTCATACTTAAACCACACAAATCACTTCCATATTAGATGATGAAAATTTTCTCATATGACATCATAAGTTTCTTGCTACAACGATGGGTGTTTCGTAATATGAACAAAAGTTTATATCACGTCTCATTATCTAAAACAAAAAATCTCTCTCTAAAAGCTCTTCTTTTGAGTTCTTTATTTTCTCTCCAAGAGTAATCTCTTTGATCATCAGGAGTTATCTAAACGACCACAACAACGAGGTTTATGTTTTTACCCTATCAGTTTCTTGAATAGAACAAGTAAGTTTCAACTCTTTTTTCTTGTTTGTTCTTAATTGAGATCATGCTTAAAGATCTTTTGACAAATTTTAGAAATTAAGTTATTGATAAAAGTTTAAAAAATTCAATTATTAATGAATTTATCGTAATATTTTAAAAAAATAATTAATTATCAATGACTTTAAAAGTAAATTATTGATGGATTTTGCACCAAATTGTTAAAAGCTAAAATAAAATTTTAACATGTTCTACTGATATATTTTATCAATAAATCTATTATAAAGGAAAATTTTCGTGAATAATTAAAATTTTGAAATTTATTCACAATTTTCTTTTTTATTGACAAATGTTATTTTAGTAGAGGAGTTTTATGAAATTTTACTTGTGGTGACAATTATATGGATTGTGTCGGGAAAGCATCGTAACAAACTACAACCAGACTAATAATTTCAGCTTGTTCGTGCACTTTTCTCTTCAACTTCGTTCATCCAAATATTCCTCTGTTTCACAATGACCAACAAGAATCAACTTGGTACCATCAATGACGACTTAACAATCAACTACAATCTCCAACACAAACTAGAACACTACCTTCTCTTCCATGAGCATGATGATATTTTGGTCTGATTTCATGATTTTCATTTTAAAAAAATTATTTTAAATTGTGCAATGAAAGTTTGTTATTAAAAATATAGGACAAATAGATCCATTTGAAAAATTGGAGGGAAGATTTTGTGAACATTATTTTAAAATTTATAATTAAATATAAATTTCATTAGAACATTTTCATTTTCAAGAAGAGCCTCCAATAAAAAGATGCAGATTATAAAACTTATCCATTCAATTAGTCCAATAATATGAACAAAATATTCATTTGTCTCAATCAATTGGAGGAAATATCCTAAAATTATTGTGTATAATTCAAATAAGAATGACAATGGGACCGTGTTAGATAGGTTTTGCTATCCTATAACTCTTTACAAAAAAATCATCTTTCTGATATATATATATTTAATAGGTATAAATTCTTTTTCTCATTTACATTTCTACCCATAATAGATTGGATATACCTATACATGAACTCATACCTTCATTTCTATTGTTTCAACACCAATTAACTGACTTTTATAAAAATAAAAAATTATGACAAACAAAACATAAAATAAACAAATGTTCCGTATAAAAAGGAAATACTTTGTTTCTCAAATATTAAATATTCAAAAGCAAATTATAATTATACACACTTTGAATTAGAATACTTAATAAAATTGTTTTATAATTATAAAATTTATTAAGTTTATAAATATTAATGAAAAAATTGATAAAATTTAAAAATATTTTTTTTAAAAAAAAACTTATATTCTAATTAAAAATACTTTAAATGTTTTCTACTTCCAATTTTTTAAATTCTTATAAAATATTTTTTTCATATATCAATAAAAATTATAATATATTGAAAGAAAT